ACTTTCAAAATAAAAATAATAATAAATAAAAAATAAATAAAAACAGTCGTATAGTTCCGCAAGTATACAAATCAATATTATATATTATTTTGAAATGATTCATTATTTAAAAATAGATTAACAATAAAAACAATTAATACTAAAATTTGAAATTCCGTATAAATAATATATATAAATTATTTTTTTAGTTTTTATTATTTTTTATGACTATCAAAAAATCCTCAACCTAATTGTTCAATGTCAAATTAATTTCATACTTAATTATAAAGTCTTTAATTAATTAGCTTAAGACAATGAAAAAATAGACTGTAATTTTATAGAAACTATATATATTTTTGTTTTTTTTTTATATGAAATATTCAATCTGTACCCTGAGGCACAATAAGAATATGTGTTAATTTACAATGACATGAATGAGTTGTTGGAAGAAACCACCCAGTAGTGACAGTTCCCAGTAATGACACTATATATTTTTTAAATATTCATGCATTTTACCTTTTTTGTATAAGCTTAGTAACAATATAATATACAACTGTTATATTGGTACAATATTTAAATTTTTTATTACATCATGAATGGATCTTTAGAACACCTAATTATTTTACAATATTTTTTATGTTTTAATTGTGTCTGAACGTTGAAGTCACTTTTTAGTAAAAAACATGTTTCGATTTTCAATTTCAATTTCTTTAATATCTAAACATAACACCATGTTTGTATCAGTATTTTTTTACATATTATAACTTTGATTCTTTTCGAGCTATTTATATTTATATACAATTTTTGACTAGATATAGGTAATTGGTAAATAATATTCRATTTTTACAAAAGTTAAAATAATATTATGGGCAAAAATATATGAGTAGATAGGAACAATAATATATAATAACAATAYAACATATTATATAAGATATAACAGACAACTGTATGCACTATATCTATAATATTAACTATTAACTATGAGTTACCTAGTACCTAGTATATTATACATAACAAAATGCAATTGGAAATATCGGAAACACTTTTTTTTGGGTTTAATGTGCCTAAAATTGGGTTTCTTAGTTGTGATAATAGTAATTATATGAAATATTATTTAAACCAATAGGTACAGATATTTACAATCAAAAGACCTAATATCTTATAATGATATTAACTCTATGATTGAATTGAATAGTTGACAGTAATACTTAATGTTGTATAATGATTAATGGCTAATGTTTTAATAATTTAATAAATATTATTATGATTATGAATTGATTTTTTTTTTAAATCATATTCATAACAGTTTTATTTGATTTCATCAAAGATGCGTGTAGCGTGTAACATATTTAGCTATTTTTCTTATTCGTTTATTTAATATAATTATTTATTACATTATTTATAAAACCATAAAAATGAATAGTCATGATTCAGAATTAGTATAGTTATGCAGTATGCTAACTCTTATAACGATTATTTCACCGTAAATTATTTTAATTATCACTGGTTCTCTTTAATTAAAGTGTACTATAATACTAACTACTAATCATACTAATATATAAGTTTTTAATTAATTAACATTTTGATGACTTGTTTCATCGCAAACCATATTTGTGTTTAAGTAGGCATAACTGAAGGTGTAGAGTTACAGAAATTATTATTATGTTAATGAAATGAATTTATGAAAATGCCTGTGAGTGATTAACATTTTTAAGAGTACCTACTTTGTTCATAGTTATTCGATGATAAAAAAAGTTATGGAATTTTATGCAAGTAACTCAACTTTATTCCCTGTACGCCTCAAAGATTAACTAATTGCAATATCCATACTTTATTTTCTTAAATATAGGTACTGTACTTATTTACATTCAACTTTCATCCTACAATATAGGTAGATACCGTAATACAAGTTATAATTCGCCTACTTATGAGTAAGWTATGTAAGTATACATATTTTATATACAAAAAGTAATAATGTTTTTCTGTGCATTCGATTATATATTGTACATAATGTATGTAGTGCGGTATTGGCTTAGTAATATGTACACTATACTATTTTAATTCACTTTTACGCCAAGGTTTTTTTTGTATTGAATATCTAGGCAAAATCAAAAATRTATTACTCAAAGCTATGTGTTGCAATAGACAAAATGTTAACATGCTGTCCCAATTTTTCCCTGKATTCTGACCAATTAGAATCCACTAGTACGTAATATTAAGATAGGCCTCGTTATTTAACGTCATTTGAGCATGAACGCTGACCCGGGCGGATGTCCCGCAAGGACTGTATACAATTACGTATTATTTTTATAACTTGCATTAATTTCAGACAAACACATAGAGTTTATTTTTTAATAAAATTTTATTCAAATTGTATTGTWCAATTAACATTTTATTCAARTATAAAAAGTGTAATCTAAGTATAAAAACATAATAATATTCAATTTTAAAATAGTAATWTAACAGGTTCTGACTTGATAGTTGAGMAATGTCAGAAGACTAGTCTCTTAATTAATTAGAGTTACGTTTTACGATTGGAGTCCAACCACCGCTTTCGTATTTTGAATGGCTTCCGTGTCCATACGAAGAGGAGGATAKATCTGATCCGTAAGATCCATATGAAGAAGAAGAATGAGCTGGTCCATAAGATCCGTATGAAGAAGAAGGCAAAGCTGATGCGTAAGACCCATATGAGGAAGCAGACGACAGTGCTGGTCCATATGAACCATGTGATGAAGCTGAGAGTGCTGGTCCGTAAGATCCGTATGAAGAAGCGGAAAGTGCTGGTCCGTAAGATTCATATGACGATAAACCTGATCCGTATGAAGAGACACCGGATCCGTACGAAGATAGAGATCCTAGAGAAGCGGATCCATAACTGGCGTCGTTAGCGGAAGCTCCTAGACCGTATCCTCCGTATGCAGGAGCTGAAGCAGCAACAGCGATTGGCTGAGGTGCTTGGACAACAACTGGTGTGGCAACCGGCACAGGAACGCGTCTTACAACCGGAACCGGTACTGGACGGGAAACTGGTACAGGTACATTCTGGACGACTGGGACTGGGTAGGGAGCGGGAACTGCTTGTGGTACCRGTCTGTCTACTGGGTATGGAACAGGCCTCTCAACTGGCACTGGGTACGGGGCGGAAACTCGGACTGGATATGGACGTTCTACTGGGTAAGGGACTGGGTGTGGCACTGGGATGGCGACGGTCCTCTGCACTGGAACTGGGAACGGGGCAGAAATGTGTTGGGCATGACGGTTGATGATGTGTATATCCTTGGAGATTGGGATCAATGGGCCGACAGTCGGTGCTGGGGCAGCTGAGTATGCGGAAGGAGCGGCAGCGACTGCGACTCCRCTGTATGCAGGTGCAGCAGCGACTGCGACTCCGCTGAATGCAGGTGCAGCAGCGACTGCGACTCCGCTGTATGCAGGTGCAGCAGCGACAGCGACTCTGCTGTATACAGGTGAGGCGGCTATTGCAACACCACTGTAAGCCGGAGCGTATGAGGATCCATAAGCTGATCCACCGTAAGCTGAGTAACCAGAGGCCAATCCGGATGATAAGCCAATGCTGGAGCCCAATCCCAGACCAGAACCGTAGCTTAGACTGGAACTATGACCCAACCCGGCATCGAAATCGTGTTCAGCGACGATACCGCGTTTTTCGGGTTTGTGCGTCTTGCCGTCTTCTTTTTCGGCCCTAACGAGGGCTACGGCCACCAAAACAACGACTAAAGCTGATGTCTACAAAAAAAAAAAAATTTAGTCAGATGTTGTCATCTCCAACGAAAAACGGCTGTGCGGTGTATATATTGTGTACTAATGAGCTGAGCTATTCGTATATTGTAATATACGGCAGCAAATATTGGTATACAATACAAATGCATGGTTACAAATAAATGACACTGTTTGTGTTTTGTTATCCAAATACTTACGAATTTCATGTTGACTGTTCTGTGTTGCTCGGTTGAATGATGATGTTTTGAAAACCAAATTGGCTATATATAGGTAAAGTCACCGATGRCACTCGTGCAGACGTTCAGGACGCTAAACCAAGCATGTGGCTGTTACAAAGTATAGGTAGTGGGTACGTTGTGTTGCGACTATATGAAAAAAAAAATATCGCGAAAATAACCAGTTTTGAAGTGTCAATAGTCGTAATACTCAACTGCAAAACTACTTCCTCTACATAAATAGGTACCACCGATGTGTTGTGTCATCGTCGTCTTGGTCACAGACGACAAAAAATAAATGTGGAACTATAATAATATAATCATATAGGTAATATTGGGTATGACATTTATATTGTATAGGTACTCTCGCTAAGTGAATCATCTTGGCAATCACGTAACATAATATGCAATACAATATTAGATGTATTTTTAAACGCTAACTTGTTCTTAAAGTATTTATATAGATATAAACGCGTTACATAATTACAAAACACAACATATGTGACTTACTCAACGATTTATAAATTATTATTAATAAATAGTAGCAAATATATTATTTTGGTTTTTGTAGATTGTATCACGATTTTGACAGTTGTAGACTGTAGGTTGTGCATAGTTTTTCTGCGCTATATATGTATAATGATAATAATATGTGATAAAAAAAGTGGAACTATAGCTTGGTATTTATATCGATTTATGAGAAAAATCAATCAATCAGATATATTAGTTATATATATTTATCTGCAGGTCTGTTTTTTTGTTTTTTGGTTTTTCAATWATAACCAATAGTATTAACGTAATAATAATATCATGCATTGATTGTTAGAATAAACCTACATAGTGGTAACGTGAAATTACAAAGTTTTAGCGAAAGATCCATCAAGATTAGGTAGGTACCTACGGAAAATTTGTATCCAGCACAAATACATCTAAGTTATTGTAAATAATTCACAGTCATATTAACTTTATACTTTTGTTACATGTCGTTAAATCAAATAAAATTGATCAAATGTCAATTGATTTATAATAGTTTAAATATAATTGGTAATAACGATTTAGGTAAGTGGTAACGATTAAGAAAATATTAGAAAATATATTATTATTATTATTATTATTGGCGAAGACATTTAGACATTTGACCACCGGTGGAAATCCATTCAGTGGAAGGAACTGAGAATTTAAATTTGCAGTATTTAACTAAAATATCACGACAACAACTGTAATTTATACGGATTAGAAGTTCCCAGATAATTTCGATGATTTAGTAGACGAGAGTGAAATTTTTTAAAATTATTTCATGTAATATAAACAATACCTAGTAATTTGACAGTTTGTCTCTGTGATTCAATTAAAAAATACATAGTTTGAATATTATACTAAATAAATTTATTTGACTAAATATCTAATTATAGGTATAATGAGTATTGAGTATATAATATGACATTTGAAGTTAAATTGTTAATATTACAGACTACACTATATCTGAAACATTTTTTTTTTTTAATGTGTTAATAAATATATTTGTTTTTTGGATTGTTAAAAATATGAAAAAAATATATATATTATATTATATGCATATCCAAACTTCCAAACACAGAACTGCACGCGTACGATACAAAATAAAATAAAATTTATGAATCTAACATAAATTGAAAATATAATTTAGATAAACATACAATTTTATTATTAATTATTAATGATATTTTATTTATTATTATTAATTAATTCTTCCCAAAAATGGAAATTCATGGCTCAGTGACTCACATTAATCTTGTGTCAATATGATATACAATATTATGCGGATGCGGATTGAGCGAAGCTGCAAATGAGAAAGACAACAAATTTCTAAAAACTGGTCTTTGGACTTTGACTTCTGTATAATATACATATATTAAAATTCATCGTTTTTCTTTCTATATTTTTAATAAATATTATTAATATTTAAAACTAATATATTTTTTAAGAATATACTTTTAACTTTTTTTCTAATTGTGATCCAAAACACACGAATTCAATATTTAACGATTGTATACGCTTTATTAATCGTTTATTTTAACCTGAACCATTTCAATCAGATACATGATATATGTGATGGATTGCAATCTCGTCGCTTAACCGACATTAGTACCATATTATCAATGACCCTAATTATTCTAACACATACTTAAAAAATATCTATGATATGGCACCTTGGAGTATACAAATGGAATATTAATATATCATTATTATTGGTACACGGAATTTATATATACGTTCTATATACTTGTAAAATCTTAAAAAAAATTGAAATGCTTCTTAAAATTGCCATTTAGATAAATCTACTTATTAGTTATTTAGCAATGGAAACTGCTAAATGAGAAAATATTTTTTAAGAACATCCTGTACCAGTATTGTCAGATTTAAGTATTGTGACAAATATTTGCATTCATTATCATTTTTAATAGCTATTGTACAGGACAATTTTTTTAATTTTTTACAACTTAAAAAAAAAGCGGGTAAGTCGTGGATGTCGCTCTGCTGTTCAGTAGGTTACAAGTGGGTTACTGTAATGGATGGAATTAAATTTGAATCCAATGATATTATATCATTGTATACGAAAAACGATTCTGAGCGAAGACGGTTTATTATCTGTCTAGAATATATTATAGATTATTAAAAATTTTCAAATCTTAGATTTAAAAAGAAAATTGTTTATGAATTTCTAGCTTAAAATATTTTGTGAATTTTTGTGATTTTTACGTATTTTGTCAAAATTCAAACTTTGAATGCTTAAAAAATAAAAATTGTGACTATGTATTCCTTTTATTTTTCAACTGCTATTGTAACAATTAATATGTTAAGAAGCATTTTTACTGCCCCAAAACGTGATGACAGACCAAAAATAAAAACACACATCATGGTAAAATCAATGCATTCATCGCTCCGCTCAGAGTCTAAAATTGGTTTAATACATATTTCATTATTTCATTTTACTTCTTTTGAAAAATTTTTAGGAAATATTTTCCAAACCTATATACTATTTTTACGACTGTAGTGCTGTAGGCTGCGTTTACTTATTAATACCTATCGGACTATGATTGTTAAGAAATTAAAAAAAATATCCATGATATGTGTATATTTTGGAACATTGAACAATTTAAATTGAGTAACGAGTTCAGTTTTTACGAATTTATTATAATATGCAACAAAATATTATTTTTTTTTATGAAATCACAGAATATTATACTTATAAATTAAATACTTTTAATTTGAACTTATTAATCAAAAAAAAAAAAATTGCAGCATTTTTTGAACCTTATTTGAAAAATGTATTTCACTTATACCACAATCACACAATTAATTATGATGAACTGATTCATTTATATTCCAACAATAAACTATATGGTATAGTAATATTGTCTATTATACTACTTAGGTAATATTTATTTGAATATATCGCAGTAACTAGCGGTAAAGCACGATTGAGCATATAGGATATTTTATGCGACGTTGTCTTATTCACAATGCCGAAATGTTGTAATTTATTATTTTCATATATTATTATTAGTACATAAATTATTATGATACTAAACTTAATCGAGCCTCGAGCAATGAGCAGAGCTCAGCTTTATAAACTGTAATGTTACTACTTACTGATTAACAAAATATAGATGTATATTTTTGACCATTGTTATTAGAAATAATACAATTTGGTATTAAATTAAAAAAAAAAAATAATAAGTTATGTTTAATAATTTAATACAAGTATTATAATACAAAGTATTTATATCTATGGCATATTTCAATATTTGACATAAAAATTAAGGGAAAAGGTCATTTATCAAATAATACAACAATAATTTTACCGGAGACTTTCGACTCTTACTATATTTTGTATATTTTGAATTATTATAATTAAATTATACTATATTAACTGTAACCTAAATATTTTCGGTATAATATAGTTCAAAATTGCTAATGAAAACATTGAAGAGTTTTTTATGGTCAACCTTGTTGGCTATCTTTTGTTGTTATCCTTTAATACACCGACAAATTATTAGCCATTATTAGGTACCTACCTATATAAGCAATATATTATAATATAAGTATGTAAAAGTTATAAACCAACCCACAGGATGTAAAAAACTTAATTTTATTCTTAAAAAAAAAAACAGAATTGTACAATTTAATTTAATGTAGAAAATGTATGCTTAAAATACTAAAAATGTAACAAAAAAAATTATTTTACTAATGGCCTAGTTTTCGATGTACTTTGATCAATAAAAAAAAAATATTATAAATATTTGAGAACTTCTCATAATCAAGAATGTGCCTTTAATACTGTTAAAAATTTAAGATTACATAGAAACAAGAAAAAGCTTAGAAATGCTTGTTAATCTCTTCGGAGCCTTTATAGTCCAATCAAAGACAACATCAACAAAATCATCTTATTACCTACTTAAATATTGGAATATACAACTTAACCTTAAAAAACCTATTCTATTTATATGAAACTTATATTTATTTTGTTGAAAGCTAATAACTTTGTAGTTGATGCTGTATCACGAATAAAAAAAAGTTTTACTTTTTGTTAAATCATTTTATAGGTATTGTATAGGTATAATATTTATTTTTATTTTTATTAAATGCACGATGTACGCTATGACTGTTTCAGTAAAATGATTAAAATAAAATTATATTAAGTTTAAACCATGATACATAGTGAAAATTAAAAAATCTAAATTAAATTTGAATATTAACCAAATTTGAATAATGCTTACGTAATTGAATGCACTATACAGTATACATTTATACTGGTTACACTACATTATAATATATTAAGGAAAATTGATATGAATATTAAAACGTAGAAACGTAGTMTTATCTTAAAAAAATGAAAGTATTTTAAAGAATCTAAATGTCACTGGAGTACTTATATTATTAATACATATAAATGCGAATAAATAAAGTAAGTAGCTCTTCAATAGTTTAAACTTGTTTTATAATATATTATTATAGACATGATCATATAAAATGCAATATTATAATATAGTCTCAAATCCCCGTTTTGTGGTTTATTTATTATGTTTATAAATGGTAGATAATATTGATC